CAGCTGAGCTACTTCCTCTCTTCAAAATCCTCCACCCCATCTTCAGGTTTTCTGGGGTGTGGCACAGGACTGAGGCCTGCGGCAGTTATAGACTCCCAGAGCTCCAGAACCCAGAGTAGCCTTAGTACAGCGAGGCCAGTGGTGACCGGAGGGCTGAGTAGCTACCATAGTCAAGGCCTAGGAAAGGGACAGAGCCGTGAGGAGGGCAAGACAGTCTCCAGCAACCAGAGAAGGAACCACCTTTATACTAGGCCACGAAAGAGCCAACAAAATACCATATAGACTCCACTCAGACCTCAAAGCAACACAATCAGAAATCAATAATAGAGACAGCCCCAAGCCAAAACCCCACCGTAAGCCTGGGAGCTCAAACCACACTGCTGAATAATTCATCAGAAAGAAATCATAATGGAAACCACATTAACGTTCAATGAACTTAGGTCCTACACATCAAAACCTGTGGCATTCAACTAAAACAGTAATTAGAAACTTGGATTCTTACATGCAAATACTGTATTTCACTGAGTATAAGACACCATCTTTTGTTGTTGCTGTTTGTTTGTTGGTTGGTTGGTTGGTTGGTTGGTTGGTTTTCCGAGACAGGGTTTCTCCATGTAGTTTTGGTGCCTGTCCTGGAACTCTCTCTGTAGATCAGGCTAGCCTCGAACTCACAGAGTCTGTCCGGCACCATCAATTTTAACAACATTGTTTTATGAACCACAAAGAACAAGGGCTGTCAATTAAGACACGATGCTTCGTGGCCTGGAATTGAACCTTTTTCATTTTGTTTTATTTTATCTGTATGTACGTGTAGCATGGGGGGGGGGCGGGGACAGCTTGACCACACAGCTGCCATGACAGGCTTAGGGGCCTAGACACAGCAGGCAACATCCAGATCCAGGAAAAACCTTAAGCTGACACCACCCAGGGATCCACCCAGGGATGGGAAAGTACCTGACATCCCAAACATTCCAACCATTAGATAAGGTGGCCAGATGTCCAGGAATCTAGCACACACCTGTTTTTGTTTTACAGATACCCTAGACAATTGTCAGCCAATCAGGGTCCTGGACCCTGGAAATCCCCTCACTCCAACCTCTGCTATGATAAAAACTCTGCCCCACCTGAGCTCAGGGCTCTCTGCTCTCACCACTGCGTCCGGCAGACAGAGAGACCAAGTTCGGAGCTTGAAAAGAATAAAAGCTCTTTGCTTTTACATACAGGATTCGGTCTCCATGGTGGTCTTTTGGGGGTCCCTGAGGTCTTTTGGGTGGTCCCTGAGATCTAGGCATAACATAGCAGAGTGTGTATATGTGCCATGTGAATGCAGGTTGCTGAGGAGGCCAAAAGAAGGCATCAGATCCCCTGGAACTGGAGTTACAGGTGGTTCTGAGCCACCATGTGGGTGCTGGAAATCGAACTCAGCTCCTCAGCAAGAATAGCAAATGCTCCTGACCACTGACCTGGAATTTTTACTTTATCCCTATTGAGGTTTTCTTTTAGACTTGGATATAGGTTTTAATCACACTGTCACATGTGCACATACAAAGAATAATTGGTTATGGTATTGTTACACCTTATTCAAAATCTGGCTTCTAAGTCATTTTCCATCTCAGCCATTGATGTCCACATTTTCTACCTAATAGTGACCTCAGTGAAGTGAAAACGTGGATGCTTCTCCCTTGTCTCCAGAATGTTCTTCCAAGCTATGGAGGCGTTTTTCAAGCTTCGGTGCCCACACAGGAAGGACATGGATGACCACTGCGCACCTCTCACTACCTGAAGAGCTGGTGGTGCTAGCTCTAACTCAGAAATGCAAGGTGACTCAGCGGGGACGAGCACATGTCCTGTAAGCCCAGGGACTTGAGTTCCACCCCCGGAATCCTCGTCAACTAGGAAGCAGAGAACTGACACCACAGAGTTGTCATCTGCCTTCCTCA